ATGACAAACTCTTGTCGAAACGTTTTACATTTGCTGTTATGTTAAACTTATATTAAAGTTTTTCTTCATTACCCATTCAAGCCATCTCCAAGCATTATTAATCTAACATAAGTTACTGAAGCTAGTGTTAAACTTCTGGTAATTGAAGTTTTACTGATGTAATTAAATTATAGAGATGATGTTAGATTTTGTTTGATAAAATAGATGCTCAGTAGTGGAATACATATATTTTATTATTGTAAATGAGAAACATAACTGATTTTGATATGGTTATGTATCTAATCACTATAGAGTTCAGTTCTTGTGCTGGTGTAATAGTATTAACTAAGAATAGTGGTGAAATAAGGTTAGATAGTTGCAAAAAAATATTTAACATGAAGACTTGTGTAAAAGTCTTCCTCACAGAGTGGAAAATGGATTTTGTTTTTGTTTTTCGAGAACAATTAGTATTATAAAATTCATATCAAATGTTGTTTTTCATTATCCTCATTATTGTAAAATTATATATAATACATGAACCTCCTTAACAAGGGTATTAAATGATTTTTACTTGAATATAATACATAATTTTCTGTAGACAAACTGTTTATGAATTTTACTGTCAGAACTAAGAAAATGAACTAATGAATGAACTTGTCATTTTTCACAAATCAAAAACTATATAATACTTTGCAGTTGAAATTTATTTAATAAAAAAGTTTTAGTTCTGTAATTATAGATATAAAAGTTTAAAAATCAATTTCAGCATGCTCCCAACAACATACTTAGCGTTTGAGAATTTATTGAGTATAATTCAGCACCTGTAGATTCCTATGAGGAAAATCATAATAGTTTTGAATAAAATAGTGCTAATTTGCCTTTGTAACTTATAGTTTTATCAAATTTTATTCAATCACTGTTTCTAAACTTCGGTTGTCATGGTGTGATATAATGGCCTATATCTGAGGTTTGAGAAGCCATAAGCTACTGGTCTAAGTATGTCATGAAAACTTTTTTTTCCTGTTTGTTTAAACTGTAAAGCATTAATGCTTCTTGTTCAGCAGCAGTTTGTGTAAAGGTTGGAACAGAGTGATAAGATTTTAGCTTTGTAATTGTTGCTAGAAGAAAAGGTGCTTGTGAACAGCTTTTGCTACAAGTACAAACCTAATTTTTTTGGTTATCTTACATTTCATTTGATTTAGAATGTTTCAGTATAATAGGAAATAAATGTTTTTTGTGGAACAAGATTGGGTAGGTTTAGTTAAATCATTTTGTACTTGACTGTATCAAGTTTCATTTTGCTCATGTGTCACTGTGTCAGGCCTCATTTGCATTAAGTCTTATCACCCAAGTAACTGCTTAACTAGGCAAAGAAAATCATTGAAAAAAAATATAAAAACAACAATATATATTAATATAAAATGTGTTTAAAACTTCATATGTATATTAAGTGATACCTTCTGACTAATAATAATTAAAACAATGTTGACTTGCTTATAATTTTGGCATTATAATTATTATTATATTGGTTATTATAAACCCAGTGAAACTGCATATCTTGTTTTTCAAATCAAAACAAAGGTAAAATTTACAGTTTTACAAAACTTAAAACTGTGAGAAAGTTTTAAAAGAATGTAGTAAGACCAAAAATTCAGTCATTAAAATTTACAACAAATGAAGCATTTTTAAATGTTTCTTAAAAACATATCACAATAAAAGTTCTTTAAATTTGAAAGCTGCAAGTTATTCTAGTATCACATAAAAATAATATTTTTTTTTTATTTACAGAAGCCACACACTCTATGTAAAGTACTTCTAAAGTTTCAAATTATTTTTTCCAGTATTTTTTTCTCACAATGTAATGTAATAAACCATACAACAGGAGTATCAAATCAACACATCTAGGTTTCAAAGTGCTAAAGACCATTATGGTTTAAAAAGCTAATTTATGCCTCTTTTTCCTTTGCAGAGATTTCCCATACATAGGTAATACAGCTGACAATTATCAAGTTAGATTCTTTGAAAAGATTATAGTAGTTGTGAAATGGTTCATATGTGACAGATATGACTTATTCAGGGCTTATTGAGAGCGAATTTTTCTAGTAGCCAGCTAAAATATGGGATATTTTTCATGTTGCATGAAAAAAAATTATTATTATATACCAATCATGACATTTTGTTGTGCTTCAGACATGATTCTCAATATTCTTTTTCAGGCAACTTTCATCTCATATGCCCTTGAGTATGTCTTGATATTTTGGTTCCAAGAGACCAACTATCAACAGTTTTTTGTGGCTGATAGTCTTGAAACTCAGGTCAATTGAGATGAATCACCATCAAGTAATTTAAGGTTGATTCCTCTAGACATATTTGTTTGTTGTGTTTAATTAGATTCATATGGCTAAAACCATGTACACATGAGGCTGTAGATGTTGGCAAAATTGCTACGAACAGGAAATCTGCCTTGAATTGAGAGTGTCTTTTCAAGTAGTTCTTCAATTTTTAAGCCCTATCCCAAAATTTGAAATCTTACCATTCATTCAAAAGAGATTTCATTTTACTCTCCCATGAAATGTGGTAAAAGATATCTTTAAAAGTACTGAACAGAGAATTCAATATCATTTTTCCCAGACTCTTGAAGCTTATTTTCAAATAATAGTGTCAAACACTGATGAAGATTTTACTACCTAATTTTCTTGCTCTTTAAACCATTCCTGAAGATATTTCATTCCATCATTGATAATTCTCTTCCTTGCTGAATCAAAGCTTGCATCATTGATGTTTGAAAGCTGGATTTCATTGTATTTTCCATTCATAGCAGTTGAGCTCTCTTTATGTAAACCTCAACTTGACTGAGAAGAAAACATTCTTTCAGAAATGCCAAAAACTTCTTTAATTTACACAAAATATCAAGTAGAAAATGCAAACTTTGAAAAATGTTTTTCTTAAAATTCCATTAGTTAGAACAGCATCTCTTTTCACATTATTTATATTCTCTAAATGAACTACTGCTGTGTTATAGTTTTTTCACAACAGCAGTAAGAGCTCCAACCTTACTAGAAACCCAGCAAATTTGATGTAAGTACTGAAATTTCAAGAACTTTGTTTCCAGAACATTTGACACAAGTCCTAACTACCTCAATCTTTTGAGTAAATTCCTGTAAAATTTATACAGTTTCTTGACATCTTGATCTAATTCATCTAAGTACTTAACATGTTTCACAGAACTTAAAACACTCAAATTTGTGACATTTCTTTTCATTTTAGCAGTCAGTCTATTTTTTTTTCCTACCATGTTTGCAGCATGATCTGTGCCAAGTCTTACCAACCAGTTTCTTTCTAATCATTCATTTCCAAGTTTTCTCATTTCTTCATCTAAAGCCATGTAGTAACCTCCTGCAGTAGATTATTGAAGCAGAATTATTGACAGGAAAGTTTCTTTTGATTCTTTTATGTATCAGATATATAAATAATTAGCTGTTCTACTGTGGTGTCATCTATGAGGATTGTTGCATGACTACATTCCTTGATTTCAGCGAGTAGTTCTTGCCGTATTACATGTGCAGTGTGTAATATAGACCGTTTGCACTGCATAACATTCTGATATTGCTCAAGACTGCTTTTCTGGTGACTTTTCTTTGTGTACAAGCCCTTTGTGTACAAAACTATTTCAGTCTGTATTTTGAAAATACAAAAGTATGCTCTTCTGATATACAGTCGTGATTTAAAGAAAATTATCACATTAAGGAAAATCCATAAACTGATATAACTGTTCAAGATAATCACATTTCATAAGACACTTAAAGATGAAAACATGCTTACATCTAAGTGCTCACAAGAGCATATGCATGTGTGAGAGGCTGTCTACAATAAATCTGTTCCCACCAGAAGTATATTCGTTGATTGGGCTAATCACTAAACAAAATGAATAACATAATATTCTAACATTTTACCAATCCTTTAAGTTGTTACAGTTAGTATTACTATTAAACTTAATAGAAATGCATAGTACTACTATAATAAAGCATTAATTTGGTTGGGCTGAATGTAAGAGTAAAAAGTAATCTTCATGGATTTTACTGTTATAATAAGATTCTGTGGGATTCTATATTTGTTAATTCCATTATAGAATGAAATAAATGGATGAACTAAAATACTTAATTCAAATCTGTTTACAGATTGCTGGACTTAGACCTGGTAGTCAGAGATGAATGTGGTAGTATCCTCAACCCTGATACTACCAGCACTATAAGCCTGTATCGAGCTCATGAAGCTGCAACCCGAAGGATAAAACAACAGAGGTCATTGGTAAGTTTTGTAGTTGTAGCTTTATCTACTTCTTGATTTATCACTGACTTTCAAGAGCTTAGACTTGAATAAAAAAAAAAGAATATAGTTATTTCTGACAATATAATATGATCAGATAAAGTTTTGAATTGGGCCCAGCAAAAGTGAAACAATAGTAAATTAATTCATTCTTGTCATTTTGTTTCTGAGGGCTGAAAAAAATCTGAGTAACTGCAAAAAGAAAAATTTGTTATTAGTATAATATTTTTGTACTGAAGATTTAAAGACCAAAATCTAAAATTCATAAAATTGCAGCAGCATTTTCCAAATTTCATGAATGACTTCCCAAGTGCTGTCCTTTGTTCCAAACTCAGCTTTTCAATATCTTTCAGTCAAAACTGGATGTCCAGAACCAGACGTCTTCATATTGTTACTGCCATAGTCTGTATGTCACTGTTAAGAACTTTGTGTGTAGAGTAGGAGATGATGCAGACCTACTGATGACATTGTATGATGCCAAAGAATCTAGGTTTATCAGGCAAGGTCACAAAGTGTATTTGCACTTTTCATTTCTGATTTATATAATTTTTGCTAAAGGTAGCTTCAAATTTAATATTTCTTTGTTTTGAAGGCAGTAGTGCTAGTTTCTAATATTAAGTATTAAGTTTTGTAATTCATGCAAAAATGTATGTATATTGTTTTTAATGTACTTTTGTAAATGTACAAGTTAATACATTTTTCCAATTTATACGTCACATTGCTTATGGTTCCTTGTTGGTTAGTTACCTGGTCAATAACATGTTGGACACACACACACAAAATTTAAACAAAATAGAATAAATATTACATTTAAATCCACTAATTATTATTAAGGCCCCCAATTTATTTTACAAAGAAAATGAGTGATGCTCCCCAATATTTTTTGGTCATTTGTTTACAGTGAGTTTCATAGCAGGCAGAAACTTACAATTACTCAATATGCAGGCCTCACTGGTATAAAACAAATCGGAATTATTGTTTAACCTTAAACTGATAAAGTTCTGAATCTAGATATTAACCTTTTTGCTATGGGCATCTTTTTCTGCATGTCATGAGTTTTACTGGCTTTCATTCAAAATTGAATTAAACAACTTTCTTATCATGGTATACCAATAAACTTGACATAAAAATGTAGCTAATAATCCAAATTTTAATATTACACAAGTGTTAAATTATTAATTTTATAAGGCAATATTAAAACAAAATCCTTAATTCCCCTACTATGAGAATTGTGAAATTTGCTCTCTAGGTATCCCCTCTTTACTAATTTATTTACCACCTCTCTAAGAAGTGGGAAATTTAATGTAAATTACCTATTATAATGTTGTCATCACTTAGGTAAAGCATCATTTTTATAGCCTTCAATTTTATTTGGCTACAGAATCATAAGATAGAAAACTAGACCTTGGTTGCTATTCCCACCTGTCACATCCTCTCTTTCAGAAATTTCCAATAGTTCTCTCTGATTTTTAATATTATATTGTTTATAACCAATAGAAAGCCATAGTTTTAATTTATCAAATAACATATCATATTACATTGTTTGCTGTACAGAGAATTGTCTATTTTGCTTCCAATTCAAAATTTATTCACACAGGAAAGACATTGATAAACTTAGCTGAATTTTCCAATATTGTATTACCTCATCTCACACAATCTTCTTTCTGCCCTCTAAGCATTGCTAAAAAATTTTAATGCTCAGTGCACCAGTCTATATACCCCATCAATTTTGCACCATTTTTGAACATGCTTATATCATGTGACTACTCTCCACCAGTTTTGGCACAGCTAACTCCCTCTGCTATTCCCACTCAATCCTCACTTTCTCAATTGCCACATCTTCATTATACGTGTGTTTTTTTGCATGTGGCTACTGTTTATGATTGTGTTTATTTGCCATTTTAAATTTTTTCTGCAGTTTTCTTGTACTTTGTTTGCATTCAGCTGTTGCAATGACATTTGTTTCTTGTTACCAAATTATATGAGAAGTTTGTATGAGTTTACGATTCCATGTATTGACTATGGTAGTTCCCTTACAGTCGACAACACTACTGGTAAGACTTTCAAGGAATTAGCCTTAATACACAGGGAGTTAGATTCATATGTCCAGCTGGAAATTTCTTCTCCTTTTCAACCTGATAATATCATTGAGGAATAATACCATCAGGGAAAAGACAATTTGGACTTTTCTTTTTTTGGCACCTTGTTATTTTTGTCTGTCACATTCTACATCTCTTCAGTTGATTACTCAGATCGATGGTCAACACATATTCAGTTTTTCCTGTATGTTTCAGACAAGGGGGATTTCACTAGTTTTCTTTTTCCTGCTCCTGTTGCTGTAATGAGAGACCATTTTATATCTAATAAATACAAGTATTTTCAATGAAAACCAAGTTATTTTACTTATCCACATTGTTTGAAGATTTTGGAACAATCATTTGAGGACAACTAATTTTTCCTGGACTTTTGTAATCAATGCTAATATTTGAAAATCTACCCTTTGCAATGTTTTAATATGAACAATCCTTATAAGGATTATTAAATTTCCTTTTTATCCCTTTCCCATATTCAGTTATTGTATTGGAAGTTAACATTTTCTTGCATTGAAAATGTCTTTCCAATAGATACTTACCACTGTCCACATTTCCCAACCATCCTCCTCACTTCTGGTGTTTGCTTTTTGCCTAATCTCAAAGTGAAGATTGGGTTCTATATTATAGGAGGGAGTCAGCTGTGCTAGGAGAGTGTGTCACACTCCTATTAGTGGAGGGTTGTCATTTGCTCATTTGCATGCTAATTGTGACACAGAAGAAAAATTAGATATTTTTGTTTTATTAGCTTTAAGCCTGAAGTAGTGTGTATCCTATAATCATACCCCACATGCCTAACTTACTTGTATTTGTCTTACATTCTTAGGCAATTCATAGTTTTTGTAACTGTCTGTTTCTATCAGTGATATGTGTACCATATTTAAAGTTTTTTGTTAAGTTTTTGTTGAGCAGTATAATTGTTTTGTGGTAGTGCATGTCCAGTTGAAAGACACTTTCACATCCTAACTGTATTCTTCTAAGGTATTATATGTGTACCTGTACAACATATTAAACCTTCTTGCAAAGAGAGTGACTTACACATTGCCTCACTGCATTTGCAACAACATCTGGTGTATCAGTCATAATTTAAATAGTGTTTACTTTTTTTGTCTGACTGTTATCAATCTAATCACCAAGTTACATTTAACTCTTTGCTTTAAAGATATGTCATTAGGTACTTTTGTGTTATAATTTTATTTGCAATTAATTTATTTCTATTCATATAAAATAATATCAAGCTGATATGCTTACAGAAAGAGCTAATTTATTCTCTGTGTTGAAAAGCATTAATAATAGCTACAAACCTAATTAACTAATGGGAGTGGAAGCTGGTAACAAATATTTGCTGAGCATTTTCTATAAAACATTAAACCATTTGACTTTTGTATGGAATTGAAATTTAATAAATATTTCATTTATTTTCACAGTGTTAAAAAAATATTGAGGACTGAATTTCTATTTAATGTTTTTTTTTTAATTCACTAGTGAGAATTACCTAGTAAAGTGGGCAAAAGAAGGCTTAGCAAAGGACCTTGATCAGCTAAATAGTTTAAAAGTGTTATTTACGGTAAGTTACCACATTTAATAATTTCTTAGCACATTGTCTACTTAACTATTTCACTACAACATTTATAAATAACTCTCACAGTTTCAGGTTTATTGTCAGATAAATAATAATAAAACAAAATTTGAATATTTCATTACTCATCTTTAACATGAAATTATAAATTTTGGGAAGTTTGAAGGGAAATACCTATCTTTAAAGTTATCTAAAATTCCAAACTATTTTATGTTACTATCCAGCTGAACTTCTCTAATTCAGTTAATGTGTTAAAATTAAATTTTTCTAACCTTATTCTTCCCTGACAAAAAAAAAAGAGTTTAAATTTAGTAGACAAAACTGTTTTTATAACAACAGATGTATTAGTCAGTTAACTAATCAAAAGTAAAGCTGACACAATCACATATACGAAGTTTGACTTGTCTCCAATAGGGTGGATATGTGAAAAATATGTTTACTTTTGGCATATAAAGTACTTGTAGGTATGCTAATTTTAAAAACTTGGGGCTTAAATTGTTAGACAAAAGCTTCCCACCGATATCATGGTCAGATCCTGGGGAAGTAGAGTGGGTGTATGTTCTCTTTTTAAAAAAAAATTGTTCTCTGGGTATTGGATTCCCACCCTTTGCCTAGATAGCACTCGCATGTTTAGGTGTTTATATTTTTTGCTTTTGCCACTGGTTTATACTTTACTTCCTGACAAAAAAATTTTTTCTGTTGCCTTTGCCTAGTTTGTGGAAGGATTTTAATTTCTTTTTCTTCCTTTCTGCATTATGAACTCACAAGCTCATGTTACTGCAATTTCATCAAGCGTTGATCAACAAGATGTTATTCTTGCTAGACAGACTACAACCTTGGTGTTGGGCTCCACTTTATCTGTTGATGAGATGGCCATAGCGTGTTAGGAGTTGAAGTCCCACGTGCAGCCTAATCTGTCTTCTAACCCAGGGACAGATATTCCCTTACCTTTTGATTCCATTCAATGGACAACGATTTTGAAAGCCTTTTTCCTCCATCTTTTTTTTTGCTGCATCTTTTCAATCCACTGCCATTAATCAACCTCATTTTTCTTGGATATGGTTTCTCAGGCTTGTTACATTTTGTCACTTTCTCCTGCCTTTTATAATTCTTCCCCTTCCCTGCTACATTCTGGCCCTGATATGATTATTTTGTTTTTCCCTTCTTCTGATATTCAAGTCCTCACTGACAAATTTCTCTCTCATCTTTTTGCTGGAGCCTGCATGTCTTGCTCTCCCTACTTGGTGGACATGCATGCATTAACCTATCATCAGGGTGAGTTTCCCTTTCTTGAATTTCATTTGAGTTTGGAATTTCTTATTTGGGCATGGGGGTCAGATCCTATCTCTTCTCTTTGCATTTCCCCAAACTTATTTCCCTGTCTTTATCTCGCTCTTACAACTCTACTATGTTATCTCTCTTTTATCCACAAGCTTTCCAAGGCTATCCACTGTTCACCTGAGGGATTTTTGTCTACATTGATACATTTATCTTCTTTTACTTTATCTCTCTATGAGGGATTTTTGTCTACATTGATACATTTATCTTCTTTTACTTTATCTCTCTATACATGGTTGCTTTGTTGTTGGGATGGCCTACTTTCTTAGTTTTGATTACCTGCTTTTTATCTCCAGGACTATCGTCTGCCTCTTTTCTTTGCAAGTCTGTTTTTGGGGGAGTCCTAGATTCACTGGAATCTTGCATGGAGACTGCATGTCAACACTCCTCCATTTCTTCTCTGGTTTCTTGTTCGTCACAAGCCCCTCTTGCACCTATTACTGTTTCTCATCCTCCAGCTTCCTCTCCTTGCTCCACTTTCTTGTGTTTCTGCTCCAAACTATCATTACTCTAATCATCGCTTTCAGCATCATCAATATTAATGGTGACTATCCCTTAGGTTCAGACATGGTGAGGATGCAGTTGGCCCAGTTTGCAAACCTTTGGTACCTGTTTGCACCTGACTGTTGGGTCCTTCTAATGTTACCAGAGGTACTGACACTTTGTACTCCTCCCCTCCTCATTTTACTCCTATTTCCTTCTATTTCCCTCTTTCATGGGATCTGGTTTGTTGCCTGTATCTGTCTGAAGTGGTGTTGGATCTCATAGAGAAAGATCCTGTCGAACGAGTTTTTATTTCCATATGTTCATGAGTTAATGCATGTTGATGGGTTGGACATACTGAAGAAGTTTCATCTCACACCTACACAGTATCTCATTAATTTGTGTTTTTCAATTCACATCTCAGCAGGGCCCAGCCTCCTCCTATGTTTGAGGGACATGGAGCACTTGGTTTCCATGCCATATCCTCTCCTACCCTCACTGCACTGGAGGTTCTGTCTCTTTAGAGGACTTGGGCTTCAATGGAGTCCCATATCCCTTTGGATCATATTCACATGCACTCTCTTCAACAGACACTGCACAATCAGAGGAACCTTGTTCTGGATCCCTTGTCCTCCATCATTCACTTTCCTCCTTCCATGCAAGTCAACATCACGGTTGGATCGACAGTGCCAATATCACAGCAGGTGTTCCTCTTCCTTCATCTCCTGTGAACCTACATGTGTTCCTCTTCCTTCATCTCCCGTGAACCTACATGTGTTTGCAAATGCACTCCTGATGGGGTGGGGACATAATTTGGTTCTTAGGAGATTTTGGGTTGCTGATCACATGATGAAATGAACCTTCATATCAATCTCTTGGAACTGTTGGTGATACATCAAGCTTTGTATCACTTTCTTTTGATGGTTCGTGGATGTCTAATAATGATCCATATTGACAACTCTACTGTTGTCTCTTACATATAACATCAAGGTTGCACCCAGTCTCGCTCTCTCTGTTTTCACACACTAGACCTCAATTTCTGGGCTAATTCTTTGTAAGTATGTGTTATTACTTGTCATATCCCAGGTGCCCTGAATCTTGTCCAAGATAATCTCTCATGACCTGACAAGATATTGCCTACAGAGTAGTCTCTTGATCCTCTGGTTTTACAGTGGCTGTGCTCTTAGCTGGACACTTCTCTTATAGATGCTTTTGCCACTTACCTCAACACCAATCTTCCCCTCTTCCTCATCCTGCAGCTCTTGCTGTGAATGCATTCAGCAAAGACTGGTCCATCCTTTTTCTTTATGCCTACTCCTTCCATCATGTTCCTCTCTCTCACATCCAGTGGTATCAACACTCCATCTTCACATGTGGATCTTGTTGAGTCCCTTATGAGATCCTGCAAACTCTCTTCACATGTAGCCATCCTTCTTTCTTGTTTCATTTGTTACTTCTGTTTCTATCATCATAAATGGTGCATATTCTGTAATTGGTCTCTGCATTGTGGCTTCTCCTCTGTCTAGCCTTTATTCCTCCATATATATCTGAATTTTTCACTTAACTGTTCGACCAAGGCATATAATTTTTTACGCCTTGCTGGCTACAGGGCAGTGTTTTCAAATACTTTCTGATTTTCCTCTTATAGTCGAGTCTTCTACTCACCTGTCCTTTCTGTCCTCTTTTGTTCTTTTTGTTTTCTTCATCCTCCTGTCCTTCCTCATTGGGGCCTGCATGTTGTTCTCCACACCCTTCTTGCATTCAAACCTTGAGCCTCTTGTTCATTGTACCACCTTTTGCTTCACACCTATTTCTTACTGTTTTGCCTGTGGGTATAGAAAAACTGAGGTACATGTCATTGATGCATCCTGTGTTCTTTTTCATCATTCTTATATTATTCTTTATTCTGATTATGCTTTTCTCCACAAAAGGTTTGTGATTTATGAGAGGGACAGTGTGTTCACTCCTATCTCCCTTCTATTCATTTCTCACCTTTATTCTCATTTTCATCCTGATCATGTTCCCTGTCCCTTCCATGTGGTTTGCTGTTATGTAGCCTACACTGCCCCTTTTTGCAGTTCCTACTCGCATCTCTTTATCCCTTGAAACTCCTCTTCCACCTGAGATCTTTCTCCCATTACACTCACAGGTTGGCTGTGGCAGCTCAAATGTCTATAATATACTTCTTTGGACTTGGATTCTTGTTGAATTTTTTAGGCCTCTCACCAAATTTGGCAGCTTTTTCTTTCTCTAGCTGCTCACTTCCATCATCTGTTGGAAAAGGTCATGCAGGCTGACATGCATACTGTCCTGCATACTTTCGTTGCACATTATCTTCATCATCTGGCTGTCACTTCTTTGTCGGGATATCAACTTCCTACCGTCGCCATTCTCCATACACCTCAGCAGCTCTGACTGGCTAAATTCTCTTTCTTTCTCTCTTACCTTTTCAGGGGCACTGTTTTACTTCTCAGGATCCTGCTGAATGGCATGCAATGCCTGCCAGGGTATACTTATATTTAAGTCTATGCCTTGTGGCCATTTGGGTCTGTAATGCTCACTGATGAGAAGTGGTGTTCTACTAGATCCTTAGAGGTTTCCTCATAGTGTATTATTTGCTAAACAAGGCTTGATTCAGACTTTACCCACTCATGGACTATTATAAGTAAAGCAGTTGTGGTATAGCTGCCCATCCCTCCAGTCCTATTTGAATAAACTGGGACTGGCATGCTTTTAAAAAATAGGGTTTCTTAAAAAATAGGCTTTAAGTGTGAAATTTTCACTCATTTGAGAGTAAGGTGGTGTTTTTCTGTTGGTGTAGATGGGGTGAAACCTCCTCCTACCATGGAGCTGACAAAATTCCTGATGTTCCCTGGTTTTTGACTGGAGATAACCTGCCAAATACAGTTCACACTTTTGGCTAGCTTCCCCCCATTCTACTACTGTCAGGACATCAGTTCCCAGACAGTCTGGTGTTGGATTGGTGCAGGACCATACAACATAAATCCTTACTCATGTGGTTAATAGGGACCCTACTTCTACTGCATATCAGATGAGAGATACCTGATGCTGTGTGGTTTTGGACTGAGGTTAACCCATTACATATGCTTTCCGCCATCCTATCATTGCCTAGATTTTGGGTTACTGGGTGGTTTAATGTTAAATGTGGGCAGGGTCAGCACACATGGGCACTACCTAGGATGGCAGAATAGATGTTATTTATCCCTTCTACTTTCTGGTGTGGAGATGAAGATGATTGGGACCCTCCTCATACCACAGACCTGGCGATACATAACTGATTTTGCCTGGTTATGGACTGGAGTTGACCTGCCATTTATAGTATTGATGCACTCTAGCCACACTACACCATATGGCATGTCCATACTATGATACTGGACTTTGCTTGTTTTATGCCCATCTTGGGAACACATTCCTTCACTATGGGCAAAGAGTATACCCTGGTAGAGAAGAGGTGTGGTATCCCACAGGTATGCCCCTATACCCTATACTGTAGGGTGTCATGCTCCATGAGTTTTATTTTGGCACTCTCCAGAGGGTGCTCATCTAGGTAAATTTTGCTATTACTGGTGTATTTTTTACATTGTTTGCTTAATAATCTAACTATGGATTTAAAACATATGTGTTAAAAGCCACATCAACCATCTGTCAATTTGGCAACAGTTCATTGTCAGAAGTAATTAAAAAGTAGTTTTATATAAATTCCACTGTTTCTGTATGAAACATATCTCAAAAACTAGTTATCACTTTATGACCTAATTGTTATTTCTTTTATGTTTATAGTAAAATATATTTGAATATTGTGTCACATTTTCAACAGATCTTAGGACATTGAGTATTCTTAGTCACATTTAAATATTTAAAATATACTTTTTCATTTTTTACAATTTGTAGGATTTAGGAAGCAAAGATTTAGCAAGAGAAAAAGTCTATCTTGTATGTCAGATAATCAGGATAGGTAAGCATAAACTATGTTTTTCAGTAACTATAATAAGATACTTAGTTTGAAGGAAATTTGTTTGTACTAAATAGTTTTGATGTATCTTATATGCCTAGGAACTCTTCATATTGTTTTATATATATAAGAAAACAGTATAGAGCAATGTGGCTGATGGGAACTTTTTTCTTAGTGTATTATTTTATGTTCTTAGTATGTACTTGTAAAGATCCCAACAAATTAAATTTTGACTGTTTTTGGATCTTTATTATGTTTGGTACAATGAATTTAAAAAATATAAAAAGTCAAATACAAATATTTAAAAAGTTTAAAGATCACCTCCAGCACACAATTTTGCTAAAACCAATTATTACTTAACCATCACAACAATGATTGTGTAGTGCATGGATGGTATTACACCTTCTTTATGTATGTGTGTGTGTATATATATATTGGCTTTCTATTCAAATGCAAAAATAAGTTTAACTATTGATTCATTTATTGCAGTGCAAAAAGTAAGAGAACCAAACCTCTCAAAGTATTTATTAGAGATGAAGTGCTTGAATAATTCATGAGGAATTTAAGCTTCCAAAATTGACACTATTTTGTAGAAAACTAGCTGAAAATGCACATACACCAATTAAACATAGAAGAACAGTAATAACATATTTGACTTTTAGGGTTTTATTACAAAATGCCCACTTGAAACTAACTTCTTTAGGCTTGACAAAAAAAAGCTTCAAACAAGAAAACTTCTGTCAGACTTATGTGTAAAATGTTGCTTAGCTCCATGCAAAAGGTGTATAGAGTATTAGTTTTATTTACAAGTACATGATAAATTTATCAACTTTATTAATGATGAGTACACGTATAACTTAGTAAAGGAAAAGTTTTTTTGTTCTGTATAAATACAGAATGTATAACCACCAAAGTTCAGGTACAGGTAGTGGTTTTAAGTAGTAGCATAGTTGACAGAGCTTACACAAATTTTCAAAGGTCAGAAATTTTGAGTCTGTACCTTATAGAATTTGTGATTTGAATGTCAGTCTATAAAAGAACCAAAAAGTGCTGTTTAGGTCTTGAAATTTATTTAAATTTTCATTCATTGAAAATAAAACGTTTTCACAAAAACAAAAATTATGGTTCTATTTGTAAAATTTTTAATAGATAACATAAGGCATTATTTCTGTTGAAATTATTAATCATATCATTTCCTTTTCTTCTTTTATTGGCGTACTACTGTGGCTTTTGTCACTGAAGTATCATATTAAAATAGGAACTGGTCAAGTATGTATGCAGTGTATTGATTAGATGATCACATAGCATTAGTGTGAAGTAGCCCAATGAATAACATACATTTTTGTAAATTAAAGATAGGATTTTCTTTGATCAAATGGAAGCTTGTTTTTTCAGACCTCATAGTCTAATTCTAATTGAAATGTTATCATTGAGGGTTGCTGCATGTACCAAAAAACTAGGAGGCAAAACTTGAATTCAAACAATGGATTCAAGGAGTTAATGGAAACTAAGAGAAAGCTCTTTGTAAGTTGTGTGACAAAATGTTTGATGTACGATCATCTGATGATGACAAACCATCTCCAAAAATTGTACATTTGTCACCGTGTTAAACTGGTAATAAAGTCTTCTTTGTTACCTATTCATTATGTCTTTAAACTGTATGATTTTTATCTACCTTACCTCAAGTTATCTAATATCCTCTCATTGAAGACAACTTCTGTAGCTTTCAAACAGGTATAATTTAATGCACAAATACTTCCACAATTCATAACAAATAGAACATTTACAGAAACTGTAAGAAATAAACTCTTAAACCTATAAATTTGCTGTGTTTACCTGATTGTCTAATTCTTGCTCAATCCAATCATATCTAAACTTTCTATATAGCTATTTTCAAAGTCTTGTTTTATTAGTAAATAATTAAACCATTTGATGTGGCACCATAGCAAGGTTTCAACCAAGATCTGTACAAAAACTAAAGGAAAAACTTGAAAATCAAGAAATGGATGGTATATTTTCAAGGGGTGATAGGTTCTTAGTAAAAATAAAGTTATTGTTTAGGATGAGCAGGAAAATTCTAAAACCACAGAATATGGCAAAATATTGATTTTAGTTTACAATAATTAAAGCTGTTTTACATGAATGTGTATCAGACATGCAAGGCAGTACAAAACCTGTAACAACCTGAAAATAATATGATTAATAATGTTTATACAACATTTAAGAATACAGTTATGCAATTATAAGTTATAAACATAACACAGTGTAGAAAGACAGTAAATTTACACACCTATTCATTGTTTGATAGTATAAAGTGGACCAATGTTTAATAATTGTGTATGTGTGTTACAGATTTCTTTTTCACCAAAGGTAAATTGAAAATACTTGTAACATAGAAGTCAAACACATTATTTGTTTGGCTGTACTTCCTCTAGTGTGGACTGCAATTTTGCCTATTCAAGGCTCATCAGCACAGCTTGAGTCAGCAAATCAAAAAAATACAGTTAGACCCCTTTTAATCGTGATGCATATATCAAATTTATAGGGTTTTTGAGTCCTTTTTAATTCAACTTAAAGGTGTGTAAATAGTATTATGGTATTGCATCTAATATATTATTCAGTATTCTACAGTTGACCAACTGCTTAATGATTCGATACATATATTTAAAATGTCTTTTTCACCAAAGGTAAAACTGAAAATATCATTTGTTACATAGGGGCTTAATGCATTCTTTGATTTTCCTTACCCTCTGTGTTGGACTGCAGTTTCACCTATTCAAGACTCATCAGCACAGGTTGGGTCAGCAAATCAAAGAAATACACTTAGACCTCTTGTAATGGTGATGCATATATAAGATTTATGGGATATTGCCAATCTAAGAATGCATTACGTCTTTATGTAACAGATGATATTTCAGTTAACCATACATGAAGTTCATATTGTTGTATTCCTTGAGAAATAATCAGTTATTGGCTGAGGTCATAACTGGACTACTGTTGACTCCAGCTGTGTTGACTTTAGAAAAGCTGGAAAAAAGCTTTTACAGTAATTAATAGACCAATTAAATAAAACACTAACATCTAATATTTCTCTTTGATACTCCTTGGACTCCTCCTCTAAATCCACACTTGCTTATACAATATTACAAAATCTGGTTATTAATTCTGAAAAAAAAATTGTTGTGATTCTCCCCTGGATCTTTCCACTAGATCCATGCCTATTTATACAACATTAAAGAATACAGTTATGCAGTTATAAGTTAGAAACATAATACAGTGTAGAAAGACAGTAAATCTACACTTTATTTAATATTAGGTAGCCCAAGAGTTAACAATGGGTACTACCATCCAGTTGCATTCCCTCTAGTCAGCAGTTCAAAATTAGTGACAGTGCCATATAGCCTTAGTAGCTTCGCAATAACGGAAACGTGATGAGAAAATATCGTGGCAGTGGGAGTCATTCATGAGACCCTCAAATAATATAATAAAGTATCCCCCCCCCCCAAACATGCCTATTAAGTTTGTTTGTTTATAGTTAAGCACAAAACTATACAGTGGGCTATCTGTGCTGTGTCCACCTATAGTATCAAAACCCAATTTTTAGTGTTATGAGCTTTATGAGCTCAGAATTACCACTGAGCCACTTAATTGTAAATTAAATGACCCAGTTGAAATGAGGACAAATCATTCTTATAGTTATGAATCAGTGTAACTATAATTTTTGTTCTACAATTCAGAACAGTGCCTGACAAGGCACTTTGTTTGGGTTAGGAGTTAGAAAGTATGTTTACTTCACTGTTTTACTTTTACTAAATATTTTTAAACATTAAACCATTTCATGAAAACAAAATATTCTTAATATTCCTAAAGTTTGTTATAAAAGTAAAATAGAATGCCAGTGTTTTTTCCACATTCCTCTTAATTTGTCCATTGCAGATTCACAACACTAGACAACAAAAAATTTGTTACTGGAGAAAACTTGGGGTAATTTAATGATGCTGATCTAAAAAATGTAGTCAGAATTTGTCCATCATCTCTAGATTTTGAATTATTGTAATATCTCAGTATTTTATCAGAACTATGTGAAATACTATTCAATCATCTCCATATAAGAGATTTATGCTGTGAAATTAAGTTTACTTGGATAGTTTAATGGATAAAAGGTATACATTTTTGATAACTTCAGACATTGACTGTATTGTATTAGTGTAAAATTCTAAAAGTATAGTTCATATATGCTATTTGTTCTTGATATAATTGTAGCAAATTGCACCACTTTTACTTCATTCCCAAACTCACTTGCTCTGTCAGGAAATCACAAAATCTTCATGTGCTCAGTTTGCTAGAACATTTGAGAAGTTCCTTGACTTAGCATAAAAGGGGGCAGAGTCAGATACTTCTCTCTCAGTTGCCTCTCGGTCACTTCACCTTGCTCCCTGCACAATCAAAACAAAGTTCAATCTTCTTCCTCGTATCATACCTGCGATATAATCAAATTCTGCAAAACTTTATTTTTTTCTTCAATCATTTAAACTCTAGTTCTGTGAACATAAATTCTTTTATGCTTTTTAGAAAATCATTTAAAAATCTGGCTGCCTCCAGTTCAAGTAAAGTCTGAAAATGCAAAAATTACCCAAACAGTTTCTGCTACATTTGTGGAAAATGTATTACAGTTTCACGAAGGAAAAAATCACACACACAAGGTAAAGACAGCTTACTAACACTATTTTGGGTGTAAATTGGTGAGCAAGAAAAACATTGGGCTCCACATATGTGTTGTACAGTTTGCACATCTGGCTTGCCACAGTAGCTGAATAAGAAGAGAACAAGTATGCCATTTGCAGTTCCCATGGTATGGCATGAACCCAAAAATCATCTGACTGACTGTTATTTTTGCATGACCAACGTTTCTGGATATTCAGGCAAACCTAAACAATGCATTAAATATCCAGATATTGCTTCTGCAATGAAACCAGGACTTCATGAGGATGGTCTTCCAGTGTCACATCCACCAGGGAATTGGGAAACAGAAGACTTATCCTTGCAATGAAGACAATGAATCATCTTCATCCTCTTCATCTAGTAATTCTATTCCTATAGCACCTCAATATAAACTGCCTCATCTGATCACACAAAAAAAGAGCTAAATGATATGATTCATGACTTGCCTCTGTCAAAAGCAGCATGGTGATCATTAATTTTCAACATGATTTTACTGGTTTAGTCAGAAGCATGTGAAAGTAGCATTTAACAACAAACATAATGGTAATATTTTGAACATGTGGATATTCAGAATGATCAAAACCAGAAAATAATGTAAAACCCTAATTCTAATTAGTTGATTATTTCTATGACAATCAATTTAATCTTAATTTTGATTAATCAGTTGTTGGAATAATCTAAAACAGTAATAATCTAATTGGAACAACTAATTTTGATTTGTTGATTGTTGACATTAATCAATTCATTATAATTTTGATTAATTGACTAGTTTATGAGACACTAATTGATGTAATTGCTGCTCATAGGTGATCAATTAATGGATTAAAGCACCCAATTCTAATGAAGCCTATAATTTACAAAATGCATCTGGTTAGGTTAGTAAGTTTGGTTGATTTTGCAGGTTGATGTGCTAAGAAAACAAATATGTAAAAGAGATTGGTCATGGCATGAAAGGCAAAAGTTTTGTGTGTTATGTTAACTCAGAAAAATATGTGAACACTAGAAAGAATTTTGAGTTAAGTTCATCTTCTTCTACAAAACTTGAAAAACAGCTTGAATCACAAATATCATTTGTACTGTCTACAAACTTACAAGTGTATAAAGCTTGTGGTAAATATAGTTAATTGTGATTAGTATATAGAGATGAAATATGTAACATGTTTCACTAGTTTTTTGTAAGTTTCTTTTTGAATGTTGTTTCAGGATCAATGGAAATGAAAGATGTTGACCACAAAAGAACTTCACAGTATACAAAAAAATCATTAGAAGGTGTGAGAAGGCCATTTGGTGTAGCAGGTATTAGTATAGAACAGTTTGTCGATAGTACTATAGTTAAAAGATTGCAAACAGTTGCAAATAATATTACAGAACAATTTCTAACTTTGTTCTTTCTTTACTTGTTTGTAGTGTAACTGAGAAAAAAATGATGTTGAAGTAAAGCTTATAAAAGTAATTTTGATTTTACTAGAATAGATTTCAACCATATATAACACAAGCCTGTATTATGTATTTTTGTATTAAACTAACCCAGGCGTGTACTGATTAAAGCTATTTTTCTGTATTTCTAAAAAGTCATTGAAACAAATCTGTGTGTGATGGAAAAATGTGGTCAATGGCCACTTTGAAACTAGGCCAATACCATGTTAAACTTTGCATTAATATATTCATGAGAGTTCAATAATACAAGACTAAAAACAAAGATGTGTCCTGAAAATTGATTCAAGGGGTTTCCAAAATACAAGAAGGCCCAAATTCATGTGGAAGTGAAGAACGTGCGCTTAGGTACTAATAATAATTACATGTGCCATATATTTCCTTTTGATAAACTTTTTCTGTTGTTGTGCTTATCACAGTTCCAAGTAACTACATATGTGATATATATATATATATATATGACTGTGTGTTTGATGCTTTTGAAAGTTCTAAGTTGTAACTGTCCATTATGTTTGTTTTGGTAATACAGGTTGTCCTATTTGATATGTTCAAAATGTTATTTATGTATACAGTATAATACTTTCAAAGTTACAGTTTAAATGCCAAAAGCTGGTGGAGCATTAAAAACGTGTAGCAGCTTTCAGTTGTATATTGTTGTACATTTTGATAAAATGGGCCTGCGATGGTTTTATTGTCTTGAAATCTTTACCTGTTCTGCAGTAATTCCTGTACACTGAATCTGAAAATTATATCCATTGTTCTCCATTACGTACAGATTTTTCACAAAACATGATAATGCAATACCTAAAAGAAAGACCACAACACGTAGTTTCGAAGCTAAAAAGACGTAGATTTCACAAAAAAAAATGAGGATGCATATTCATTTGACATCAATGTTCTTCCCTTTTCTTCAGTTTGTTTGTATTTTTGTTAACAAACGTAATAATAAAAAATGTTTATTGCGGTAAAGGAAATAATTTGATCTAAGTAAGAATTTTTTTTCTTCCAAATTTGTAAAAAATCCTTAAGTGATAGAATTATGGAAAATTTGTTATTAAAGTCCAAACAACTTTTATGAAGTTTAAATTAGCAGGCCTGTGTAATTTGCATTTGATACTAAAAGATTAACAGATTAAGTGTGAACATTTCATAATCATACTTAATTGTAAATTGAATGACCCAGTTGAATTGAGAATAAACTATGCTTATAGTTATGAGTCATTGTGACTGTAATTTTTGTTCTAGAATTCAGAAAAATGCCTGACAAGGCACTTTGTTTGGGTTAGGAATTAGAAAGTATCTTTATTTCACTGTTTTACTTTGACTAAATATTTTTAAGCATTATACCATTTCCTGAAAAATAAAATGTATTGCTAATATTCCGAAAGTTGGTGGTAAAAGTAAAATTAACTGCAGATTTATAATCAGAAGCATATAAAAGTAGCATTTCAGATCTATCCTTTGTTTTCCACAAGTTACTGCCTGAGAGGCCTTTCAGTTGAAACCAGAACCCTTCAGTTGTGCTGGATGATGAGAGACAAAAGAATCTATGAAATGCTATTTATATATGCAGTATAATACTTTAAAAGTTATGGGTTAAGCATTAGAAACCAGTACCAGCTTTAAGTTGTACTATTGTATATAATTAATATTCTCTCACTTAGCATTAAATAAAATTAATTCAACATCTAGATATTAAACATTTTTTTCAGTGATATTATCCATTGAGCAAGAAAGTAAATCATAATGTTCATAAAAATTAATTACTATGAGAAATCTGAATTGTAGTTAAGCCTGTGATTTTAACTGTGATTCTTTCAGTAGTGTATATGCACATGAACAACACCATTCTGGAATGACTGTTGATATTTAGGGCTGAATACATAATAATACAATAATTTTGAATATGCTAGTCAGTAAGTTATATGGCAACCACAGCTGATACAAAGTTATGTAAGAGAACTACATTTTGATATTGTTTGTTAAAAATTTATCACTTTTGTGAAGGGTATGCAAATTATTCAAATACTCAAATTATAAGGATATGTTTAAGTTTGGGATTTATAATTTCCAAGATGGGGAGCTTCTTTGTACTTAATGGTATTGGAAAACAAAGGAATATTGATCAAGCTGGGGAACTAGAACCATTCAGAAAGAAGTCTGCAACAAGTTGTACCCAAATCGTGGTAAGCAAAGTGTGACATCTTTTAGCAGGAGAGAATCCACAAACACAAAGTGGCAATAGCTGTCTACAATACATAAAATGATCAGTAAAGTTCTCCATCTGGAAATATGGCTAATAGTCTATGGGTTCAGCAAGATAAGGCATCCAGTCGTATCTTCCATTCAACTGTCACAGACTGCAGTTGGAGAATGAAATGGGTATTCATGTTATTCCATACAAAGTCATACAGGTCAAGTTACTGGATGCAACACCTGTAGATTTCTGTGCATTTGGATCGTTGAAACTAGTGCTGGGAAACCATGGTCCTCAAACATTAGATAGATTATAGAAAGCCTGCAGTGAGGGGGGGTGTGTTTTGGACATGACATTATTATGCATGAGTCTTTTGCAATGGAAACTAAGTTGCAGGCTACTGTCAAGGTGCACAGTTGTCAGATGTCCAAACATTGCAACATGGACTTTAACAATGGTGTTAGGCTCAAAAATTGTTTTATTATATTGTACACAACCCTCTATGTATGACAGCCATGCTACAACCTCATCCTTTTAGATCCTTTTTTCTTTTGCTTATAGCAAAATCATAAAAGAGACAATGAAACTTATTTTGCAATAAATTTAATTTTTTAAAGTGTTATCCTAATAAAGTTGTGTGTGTTTTCTAAGTATAGTGTAAGATATAAAAAAAACCTTTTCAACTTGTTCCTGTTTTTATAAATTAGCAAGTCAGTCAAATGTGTTTTCTCTGTTGTATTTAAAACTTTTTTGAAAATAGAAAGACATTTCATGGAATAATCTTAAGCAAAATGTTTTTTACTAGCTTTTTATAATGAAATTAATTAGCTGTTTTTGTGGTGGAATTATAGATTGTTTTTTACAGTGGCTTATTTTAAAAAGATGTATATATATATATATTATTTTCAGTGTCTGAGTCTGAATTTATGATATTGATACTCACCTGTTTCACCATCAGTACACATTTTACTCGTGTGTGTCTTGGTGATGGTCACATGCTGATCATTTTATAGGTTTATATCCACTTTTCTGAGAAAGACTAAAATATGTTTTCTTAGAAAACTACTTACTTTGTTTTTGATTTCTCATTTTCATATGTTTACTGTATTATATGTTTTACATATCTATTTTAAGTTAGTTTTATTTATCAATGGTTTAACATTATATTTTAGCTCCACATCCATTGTGACTCTTTTATATTTTTAAATGTAATTGCCAGTGAGTAAAATGATTCATTTTTGTGCTTTAAAACAATATGAAATGTCCAAGAATAATTTGTAGTATTAGGAATATTACAAGTTTGTGAGTTCAAGGACCCCCCCCCCCCCAAACAAAAATTGATGCCTAATTTTAAGAAAATATTTTTCGTAACATATTTCTTTTTATATACATCTTTCAAATCTGACATTTGGCATTAAAGTATGAAATGACTTGGCCATAAGAAAATTATTAAAATAGCTTATAAAATCAAACTTATAACACTCCTGACTCTTATACTTAAGGTTCCAGGTTTGAATCCCACTAAGCATTTCTTATGACTACAGAGCTGAAGATAGAGCATATTACAAAAATGTATTGTGAGTTAGTTAGTAAAGAACAGTTAAACTTGTTAGGAGATTATAATAGTAAAACAATGTTAACTAACTAAATTAGATGATTATAAACTAATGTTTACCACATTACTTAAAAATATAAGAATTATTTAAAGAAAGTCACATGTAGCTTTCTTGTAGTTGGCCTGAAATATAGCACAATGCCTTAAGCATTTATTGTGTTGTATTGTTGACAAGTCTAACTATAAATGAAATAGTAACTGCAGTTTTTAATTCAATTATGAATATTTTCTTCTGAGCAAAACACATTTCTGCACACAGCCAAGCTATCTTCCCCGTGAGTCTGCCCTAGAGATTGGCAAGCCACTAGCCTTTAGGCAACTCCCAACTAATTTTACAGTGAAATTCACTACTGCATATTGATGTTACTATGCAGCAAAAGCCCTCCACCAATGGGAGAGCAACACACCTCCTTGTGCAATAACTCCCTCTATGCTTTTGCAATAGTCAATCTTCATTCTTTTTCTCGCCCCTGAACACATCAAATGTGTCATTTCCCTTTCAATTTAACAAGATTTGTGATGTTTAAGGATCTTAATTTCCCTCTTTTGTTTTTTCGTGCAAACTAGAAGTCACTAGTTCATGTAACATCTACTACTTTTGTGAGTGAATAATTTCCTCGCACAGGTTACGTATAAGCTATGGCTTATGGAGGCATGTTGACTGAGAATGATGTGACAACCATTGTGCATAGTGTAATGGGTTCCCTTAAGCAGCCAGAAATTTTAGCTCCAGTTCCCTTTTCAAGCATTTCTTTCCCTCATTTTGAGGGGAGAATGAGGAGGACAAATTTGACAAATGTGGTTCTTATATCCTCAATTTTAGTCATTCTGAATTTCCTTTCTCAATTCCTAAGTTTGGAATTTCCTTGTCAGTTTTTTTAGGTTTAGCAGACTGTTTGCCATCAGTATCACCCTCCAGTGACCAATACTTCTGTCTTTGCCTGATCCTTTTTACAACACTACTTTACCTCTCCTCTCTACACCTCAAGTCTGAGGCGCTCCATCATGCCCTAAAGAATTTTGCTGGTGCTTCTCGTTCCATTCACTTCT